CTAAACCTCTAAACCTCAAACCCCTACACCTCGAACCCCTAAACCTCTAAACCCTTAAACCCCTAAACCCTAAACCCCTAAACCTCTAAACCCTTAAACCCCTAAACCTCAAACCCCTAAACCCCTAAACCTCAAACCCCTAAACCTCAAAACCCCTACACCCCTAAACCTCAAACCCCTAAACCCCTAAACCTCAAACCCCAAAACCTCAAACCCCTAAACCTCTAAACCCTAATCCCCTACACCTCTAGACCCTTAAACCCCCAAAACCTCAAACCCCTAAACCTCTAAATCCCTAGACTTCTAAACCCTCAAGCCCCTAAACCTCTAAACCCTTAAACCCCAAAACCCCTAAACCTCAAACCCCTAAACCTCTAAAAACCCCTACACCCCTAAACCCCTACACCTCTAAAACCCGAAGCCCCAAGAAGCAGGCGGTCTCGAAGTGGATGGCCGCCGGCGGACCCAAGTCTGACCCTTAGTTGTTTTATTTAGTGGGTTTAGGGATTTTGGTATTTTAGCATTTGAGTATTTTAAGGTTTAGGGTTTAGGGTTTAGGGTTTAGGGATTAGGGTTTGGAGTTTGGGTTTTGGGGCTTTAGGGTTCGGTTTCAGGGTTCTGGGTTTCGGTTTAGCGTTAAGGAGTTTTTTTTGGGCGAGGCGGGCGGGCGGTTCACAAAAGGGTTTAGGGTTTAGGGTTTAGGGTTTAGGATTTAGGGATTAAGGGTCTATATATTTGGGGTACAACTGGCTTTGCAGCTGGTTTTAAATGCATCTCTCTCTCTCTCTCACTCTCTTTCTTAGGGGTTTAGGTTGAGGGTTTAGGGGTTTAGGGTTTAGGGTTTCTATTCTCTCTCTCTCTCACTCGTACTCTTTCTGTCTCTCTCCCGCTCTCTCGCTCACAACCCCAGACTGTAAACACCGAACCCACAATCCTGTGCCGCACATCCTGAACCAACCGTAGTATGGAAGCCTGAGTGATGAATCATGTTATTCTTTTCTGCTTCCTCATTCTACCTCTATGCTTCCTCATGCGACTTGTTGCGTAGTCTAGTACGCCCTGAAACCCGGTTCTAATGAGTAAGGCCTTATCCTCAAGCCTTATAGTCACCCCTACAATAACCCTTGAAAGGAAGCCAGAATTGTTGTGTAGTATACCCAAACCCCCCAAACCCCAAACCCCAAAACGCTTGTTTCCAATAATCCAGGCCCCTATATTCGCCCGGCAGCCTAAGATCCTGCCTCCAGATCATAGTGTCTTGTGGTGTATTACAGTGCTTTATGGTATATTATTTTAAATCACGGCACATTATGGTATTTTATTGACATTGTGGGACATGGTTTATTATGGTATAGCATGGTATATGATGGTATATTATGATAAATTTCTGGTAAGTTGTGGCACATGATGGACATTATGGTATATGATGGTATGCCATAGTTTGTTTTTGTTTGTTATGGTGTATCATACCTACCTCCTAGTCTCCGGAGCTGTGTAGATGCCCTGCAGGCCACTGGGTTGCACCACGTGGGATGAGTGGGGCATCGACGCGTGGCGGGCATGATACCATGTGCTAAAGTCCTCTTTGTTTAAGGGTTAGGGGCTTTGGGTTTAGGGTTTAGGGGTTGGGGGCTCACTTAACCCTGGACCCTACACCCTAAACCCTAAACCCTAAACCCTAAGCCCCTAGACCCTAAAAAATAAACCCTAACCCCTAAACCCTAAACCCTAAACCCCTAAACCCGACACCCTGCACCTAAACCTATGCCCTTTTGGTTGAGTCTCCGGGCTCTAGCGTCTTGAGTAACACTATCGAAGCCTTGAGAGTTGAAGGTTTAGGGTTTAGGGTTTAGGGTATAGGGTTGCCCAAACCCCAACACACTAAGCCCCACTTAAAGGATCATGGGACTTGGTAAGGTGCAGTTATAAGTGATACACTTGTATATAAGTTACAAGCCTAGTTACTAACCATGATGCTCCAAGCACAGCCTAACTTGGAGGTTTTTATTGGGACCCATCAGGGGTTTATAGGGTTTTTTCATGGGACTAGGGAAGTTCGTGTGACCGCTTTTTTTTTTTCAAAGAACCCCATCCCGGAAGCACATTGCCACAGAGAAATATGCTACAACACGATGCCTACTCGGGCCTGCTCGATGCCTACATCGTGTTGACACCAGGTGCCGTCGATTTGGTTCTCCAGACCCAGTCGCTAGCTGATCAGCTGCTCCGTAGCATGGCCGGTGCGGCTCCAGTGGCTCCGGTGATGCTTGGCGCACGAAGTGACATCAAATCCAGATCCTCCGAGAAAGGTCATGACCGGGCAGATCAGGTGTTTGAGAGGATCCCTCGTTTTTGTTTCAGGTTCTTGTTGTAATGTCGCAACAGCTATGAACCCCAACCCTAAACCCTAAACCCTAAACCCCAAACTGGACGGAAGTTCTTCTATGGGGACCACTGGCCGATCCCACTGCAAGTCTTCGACTCCTTGGCCCGTCCACTGGTTGGTGCCCTGAGCTTCGTGCCGTTCTACCTTCGCCTCAACCAGCATCTACTGCCCTCTGTGAGCCTTGTCGGATGCATTGCGACGGTGTTCTTCTCGATCGTGTGGGAGCTGTATGTGATCATGGCGACGTCTGAGGATGATGGGCAGTGGGTCTTCGACTTCCGTGGTGGGGGCTGATGCTCGCGCTTGCCTCGCTGCCGTCACACAGTCGAGGGCCTCGAGCTTCAGCTGACAGAAGCTCGGAGCCTTCCTTCAGCTGACAGCTGAAGCTCGGAGCCTTCGACTGGGAACGCAGTGGCCTCGTCTGCTTCTGGGCTTGGCCCGTGTGGTGGGGGCTGATGCTCGCGCTTGCCTCGCTGCCGTCACACAGTCGAGGGCCTCGAGCTTCAGCTGACAGCTGAAGCTCGGAGCCCTCGACTGGGAACGCAGTGGCCTCGTCTCCTTCTGGGCTTGGCCCGTGTGGCTCCTCCACGTTCTCCTGTCTGCCTTTGGCCTTCGGAGCAACTGGGCTTTAATTCGCCGCTACGCCTGTCAGGGCCTCATCTGTACGAAGCTCACATGAAGCACAGGCTGTTAAACAAGAAGATGAACACAACGTGTGTCAGAACGGCCTCCAGAGTTCTGTGGTTTTTGCGGCTGGGCGCATGTTTAACAGTGTCAGATGCCATCTACCTAAACCCTAAACCCTAAACCCTGAACCCTCAACCCTGAACCCTCGTGTCAGATGCCATCTACCTTCCTTTGGCAGAGACCTCTGGCAACGAGGTTGGCCTGAGCCCGGCCGTCTGTCTGGCGCTTGACAGCAGCCTGGTTTTGGGTGGCCTTGTCGGGCCAAGGGACACCTTGGAGTTCAGGGTTTGGGGTTTCAGGGTTTAGGGTTTAGGGTTTAGGGTTTAGGGTTTAGGGTTCAGGGAGAAGTACTGGCAGAGTTAGAGCACCTTGGCAGGACGCAGGGAAAGCGCATTGCTTTCCCGGGGAAGGTGAACTACGACTCGCAGCACTGCATTGTGAGTTTTCATGGCAGGTGCTCGGAAGAAACTTGGCTTTGCATCAGGGGCGCTGGGCAATTTCGCTCCGGTTGGTAGTCGGACAAATGGGAAGTGGTGTCGATTTGCAACGTAACTGTGCTGCAGGTAGGGTCCGTTGGAAGGTCATGGTTTGACGTTGCGGGTGGAAGGCAGGTTGCATGTGTGACTGAGGAGTGAATAAGGTAGATTCTCAATGAAGATTTACTTTCGAACCCTAAACCCTAAACCCTAAACCCTAAACCTTTTGGCTGTGGGGTTCGGGCGCCTCTCCGGATTCCTGGAAGGCTTAGAGTTGAATTTCATGTTTTACTAGGGTTTAGGGTTTAGGCTTTAGGGTCTAAATCCTTGTTTGCGCTGCCCAGGCCTAGGCCGAAAATAGATTCGAAGAGCTTTATCGTTGCTGTGTGTCACCCTAACTCCCCAGGTACCTACTATATAGGGTACTGGAGCCCCTAGGGCCCTATATAGTAGGTACCTGGGGGGTTAGGGTCAAAGGTTTAAACTCGAATTAAAAGTTGTACGGTCTCGGCTCAGGAAGTGAGTGAAGTTCAAAATAGAAACGTTCATACCGTCGCCATAGCAGGGTTTAAAATCGAGTTTAAACAGTTAAGGGCTTCGTCATAGCTGGGCTTACAAGGTTGAATGCAAGGTATCATCAGAACATTCTGCTGGAATTGAAGAATATCTGTCCGTATGTGTGTGTGTGTGTATGTATGCATGCATGTATGTATGTATCTACCGGCCAAAGTACCCATGTCATGCATCTGTGTGTATTTACTTATTTATGTATGTATATCTGTCTGCGCAGATATATGGGTTTTCCAACCACCCTTGGACCCCCAGACTTTAGACCGTAAACCCTAAACCTAAACCCTCAACGCTTTAGCCAGACCCTAAGCCCTTGGATCCTAGAGACCCTTAGACCCCCCCTGACCTTTAGACGCTCAGCGCCTTAGATGCGAGGACCCTTGGACTTTGAATTCCTAAACCCTACACCCTAGACCCTTGGACTTCCAGACCTTGGAACTAGACCCTCAGACCCGTAGAACAAGACAAACCTTCGCTGACTGTCGGTGGCTTGAATTCAAGTTTTTGAGGTTTAACTCCGGATTTAAGGCGTCTGGATGCTGCGGTTTCGCCCTACCGGGAAGGGGAATACATTTGAGTTTAATCCTTGCTTGAAATCGAAATCCTGCCTCATCTACTGAGGAGTGGGATGCTGCTGTGCGGATGGTGGAAGTGCGCTCCAGCGCGTGTAGCCTGGCTTGCGTTTTTCTAACAGATCCTGATTCTGGCGTAGGGGTGCACGAGGACAACCCGGACGAACCGGGGAACTGCTGGTGCAAAGCGCTCTACGGGTGCCAGCGGCAACGTACATCACTATCGTGGAGGATCCAATGGCTTTGAGTGCCGAAGACCTTCGTTTCAAAGCGAGCGATGCTGCCGCCATGGGCCAAATCTTCCTCAAGAGAGAGGCTGAGAGTGACGAGCAGTGGGCCGAGGCAAAGGAGGTAGCCCAGGCTGCCGCAAGGGCAAAGTGTGAAGAGAACCGTGGTCGTGGGTTTTTGGGGCTGCCGCTGGTTCCACGATTGGAAACTCAACGTGGATCGGGCGGTGGCCCGTGGCCAAACGCTGCACGTGTGTTTACTTTGAAGGCAGGGTCGGATGTGGGAAATTGCCTTGGCAGGAACTCTCAAACGAGACTTCTGTCAAGAAGGTCGCCTAGAGACAGAGTCCGGCGCCAGAGATGACGGTCAATAGAAGAAAGCATGGTTGTCCCGCTGTTTTCGCAAGGCAGTGTAGTTTTTTTTTGCAAATTATGCTAAGGAAGGCGCAGTGCCGCAAAGCTCAGCCACCGGGGGCTTGTCCCTTCCCGGCCAATCTTTCGACCCCTGAACCCAAGCCCAAAGCGCTGAAGCTGGACCCTGAATTCTGAGATTTACGATAGGGATCGGAAGAATTAGTGATAGTATACCGTTATCATCCGTGTGAAAACCGTGTTACCCGTATAACAGACCCCAAAACCCTAGTCTACCCGCTGCGGGCACTCTGTGATATTGCTCGAGTGCCTTTTGTGTGTTACAAGGATCCCTGCAAGCCTTCGCTCGCGGACTACATTGATCCTCACCCCCGAAACCTAAGCCATGTAACATAACGGTCGGAGTAATTACTAACAGTATTCCTTATAGTTTCATATATTTGTGCCATGGCATAACCCAAAGCCCCCTTTTGATTATCAAGGCCCATATGATACCTTCAGTTTTGAAGCCTGATACTTACAAAAGAGGCCTTAGTAATTGCCTGCACTAATTTGGTGGTTCCTTATTATCAATTATGATAATAGTATAATGGTGCCACAACCCTTTTTTCATCAATATTTCCCCTATATTAGTCATCCTCGAGCTCCCCAAGGAAATTTGCGCCCACCTCTGCGCCAAAGAGCGCCTCAACTTGCCCTACACTCCCCTGGAGACAGTGCGGCAGGCAGACGCCCGGGGATCCCGAACAACAAGAGATTTTCAGTCCTACGGTTCATGATTTAAACCCTGCATTACCCATAATAAGGAATATAACGTAATTCCCGTAGTTTAGGGTCCTTAAGGTACTGCATGATTTCTATCATGAGCAGTAGTGGCGGGCACGTCTATGCTATGTACATATGCATTTGGTTTGAGTTGCATTTCTGAATGTGCTTCGGTGCATGAGCATGTGCAGAATGATTCTCATGCATGTATGTACACAGCGCATACAGACATACATGCCCACGCATTGGTACACATCCATCGTTTTGATAGCATAGCATGGCATGGTACAGCACAGCACATCACCGCACAGCATGCCGTGCCATGTCATGCCATGCCATGCCATGTCATGTC